CTGGCGAGTGCACGCGCCCTATAGCGAAAAACTCTCCAAAAAAAAAAAAAAAAGGAAAAATTACCAAAAAAAGGGGAGACAGAAGCAGGGAGAGACAGGAACTGAGACAGAGAGAGAGATAGAAGGCTGGGGTTGCGGGGTGGGGGGCTTCCTACTGCTAGCTCATTTGTTGGAGGCTGTATTATCAGTAGAAAATCTTCATTCCCTGAAAAATCTAATTCGCTGGCGCCACGTGGAACCTTCTGCTGAAGGCCCGGCTTCTTCTCCTCTATATAATTTTTAAAATGTATAAAAATGGTAATGTGTGCAATCCTCACATCCATAAACATATTTTTTAACTTCTCTATACATTAATGATCCTCCTTTAAAATCTCCCCTATTCAGTTGACACCATGATCATCCACTAAATGAAACCTATTCTCATCACAAGGCCCTCAAAAGCTCTCTTCATTGTTTGGACAATTTGCTTAAACGGAGAGAAAAAACTTCAAAGTCTTCTGGAGCCCTGGGAACATCATCCGTTTGAGTTACATGTACCATTCAGAATCTCTGAATGGTAGTCTAGGCCTAAAACTCTGTGCCTTGTTGCTTGGCTGAATTGTTTGCCCTGAATCACGTGACTTAACTGGATTTCCTAAAGCTGTCCTCTCTGCTTAGGTATCTATTGAAGAACTACCAATATATGTTGGCCATGTGTGTGAGTGTGTGTGTGTGTGTGTGTGTGTGTGTCAAATTCTGAAAGAACAGAGAAGGGATTGCAATGTAGCCATCTGCCATAGGAGATTACTTCTCGCTTTCCCTCTCTTCCTGTCTCTCTATTCAGTGAATTCACACACCCTATAACAATAATCTATAAATAAACAAACAAACAAACAAACTGGGGCAGCAGGTGGCCTGGTGGTTAAGGCACAGGATCCCATATGGCTCACTCTGCAGTTCAAGTCCTGTACCCAACATCTTGAAAAATACACTGGGCATGTGTGTATATAACCAAAATCCTGAGAAGAGAGTATAGAAGGGATTGCTGCATAGCCATACCTCTGGGGGGTGATTTTTCACTTTCCCTTCTCACTGTCTCTCTGAAGAGAGTGCAGTAGCCCTATATTAAAATACTAAAATAAGTAAATAAATATGACATATACCTACTATTTTGTCATTAATAAATTTTTATACGAGGGCTGGCAAGTGGCATGGTGGTTATAGGTGCTGGATTTCCATATCAAGTCCTGAACCTGGCTGCTTCCTTTCTCTTTCCATTTCTCTCTCTGTGTCTGGTCAAATTCAAAAATAATAATAACAAATGGAATTAAATAAATAATCCTTGAAAATAAATTAAAAAAAATAAGTTGTTATAGGAAGCAATTAATCAAGTGGGAATTCTCCCCTTTGCACTCTGCATTAGCAAACCCTTGACCTTCACAACTCATGACTGTCACTTTGTGCTCTGTGCCTGGGAATTTGCATGTTTAGTTTGGTATTTGAAACTCTCAAACCCACATTTACTATCATTCACCCATTCTATTGTTTCTGCAGTTATATTCTGAGGACCAAATAAATAACCTTTCCTTTCAAGCAGTCAAACTGGCCCAGTTGAATCCACCTGTGGCTCTCTCAACTCCTTAATTAATTAATGAATTATCTTTCTTTTCTTTTTTTGGAGAGGTTTTTGCTATAGGGCGTGTTCACTCACCAGAAAGACAGAGATACAGAGAGACAGAAAGCAAGAAACTACCCTGGGGGGATGGCCATCTCACAATCCCTTCTCTTCTATTCTCCTCTCAGGATCTTGGGCACACATACACATGCTCCCGGTGTGAGTTTAAGCCACCAGGTCCGGGACTTGAACCATGGTTGACTATGTGGGAGCCCAGCAACAGCCATTGTGCTAACTGCTGGTCTCTTAACTCCTTAATTTATTACTTTGGCATTGTCTTCCATGACAGGCTGCGATATATGGGTAAGTGCCTCATCTACTTTATTTACTTGTATTTCTCCTAAACTGCCTCCTGCTCACTGAGGGCATATGAAACATATGATAAACCTACTGCAAATACTGAACACCTTAGCACTGTCCTGAGGTGTCCACCCTTCCAGGAAGTGTGTGGATGTTAGTGCTGCCCTCCCCACTATAGGGAAACTCACTGGCTGTGCCTTGCTGGAAAACAGCTCAAAGCAGTTCCTTGAAGGACTTTATACAAGAGCATACATTGGTTAAGCAAAAAAGGTAATACTGTACTATCTACTTTAATTTCCATTATTTCAATTTTCTTTGGTTGTGAAGAAAGCTATAAACTCTGTGAACCATGATTTCATTTCCCCGACAGACCTGACAACTTGGAAAGCACACTGCGTGTGTTTGTGCATACATGTGTGCCCAAATCTCCAAAGAAGAAATGGAGAAAGGATTGCACTATGATCATCCTGGAGAAAGGTTCTTTCTCTCTTTCTCTCTCTCTCTCTCTCTTTCTCATGCACCCTCTAGAAAAATTTTTAAAACTCATTTTAAATAATTCTTTGCTTAGTGCTTTATAATTTCTTTTCTCTTTATAAAGACCAGTTAGAAAGGCAGGAAGATATAAAATGTTTGAAGGATCATCATCAAGATAGCCAAGTTTATTTAGAACATTCTTCTGTGTTCTTTCCATGCTACCTTGATCCTGTGCTAGTTAATTACAATTTACTAAATCTTCTACAATACTAAAAATATGAATATGGAAGATGGAAATTAAATGTGTCAGTACAATTGCACATTAAAAAAATGATGGAGGATATTGCTGATGATCTACCTGTCAGTGTGATAAACCATGCTCAAAGATTTCTGTGTATGGATTAGCTTTTCTCAATTCTATATCTAAAACTTTCTTTAAATTTCAAAGTCAATTTAAATTTAGGTCCTTTTGGGCCAGTGAAATGTCTCCTGTAGGTCCCTGCAGGAACTGAGTCCTTGGAGATCTGTCTGCAATAGATGTGGATCATGCTGCCCACACTCAGAGACATTAATCCCTGAGGCAGCAAAATGCAAACTCCTGCGGAGGAGGAACCAGAGGTTCCTTTTTAGGAACCAGATTTGTTGTGTGTGGTTTTTGTTCAAGAGTGACTATGTCTTTAAAGAAGAGTTTAAGGTCACCTGTGTCTGTATTTCATCAGTGTGGAGAGGTGAAGTCCAATCCAGCCCTTTATCCCCAACCAGTGATGTGCTTGAACACCAGTGAGGTGAGCCATGACATCTCTATTCAGCAACACAAAGTTAGTCTCTGATATGAACAATAGATGTGGATCATGCTGTCCACACTCAGAGACATTAATCCCTGAGGCAGGACTTTGAGTTTGAATTTAGATTCAAAGCTGAGCCTGAAGGCAGCAAAATGCAAACTCCTGCGGAGAAGGAACCAGAGGTTCCTTTTTAGGAACCAGATTTGTTGTGCGTGGTTTTTGTTCAAGAGTGACTATGTCTTTAAAGAAGAGTTTAAGGTCACCTGTGTCTGTATTTCGTCAGTGTGGAGAGGTGAAGTCCAATCCAGCCCTTTATCCCCAACCAGTGATGTGCTTGAACACCAGTGAGGTGAGCCATGACATCTCTATTCAGCAACACAAAGTTAGTCTCTGATATGAACAAAGCTCTCCTGGAGCTAGTTTGGGACATCTTTCCCTCCTAGTGGCTTGCAGTGGGTCCATGCTTAGGGAGAGAATGACACTCTCCCAGTCTTTCATATTGATCTGTTTAGGATCCAGTTGCTTTGACCAGTTGAGGGCCTGGTGCTTTGTGGACAAGGATACCACCTCTGATACTTGAGTTACCCAAGTGTGAAAAAGACCCTCACTGCATTGCTCATCTGGCTGTGGGTCACAATGGGAATGGTGCCATACAAGTACTGTTTTGTGATACAGTTTTTATCAGTAACTTGTGTTCACCTGTTGTACTGTGGTGACCATTTGCACAAGGTGGTCTTGTGAAGTCCCAACTGTTGGCTAGTGACACAACAGTTCAGTTGACAGAATTAATCTCTATGGTCACTTCTGTGGGATGGTGACTAAGATCAGATGTGTAGGGGCCAGTAGTTGGTATGGTGACTGAGGTGTGGGATTTCCATATAGCTGACCACAGTTAGAGTCCTGGACTTGGAGGTTTGCCTTTTTACTTTCATTTGATCTCTCTCACTCTCTGGTGAATTAAAATAATAATGATGATGATGATGATAAATAAAATCAAATGAATAATTATTTTTAAAGAAAAGCTGGAATTTGTAGACAAGAAGACCATGGTTATGCTAAGAAACCTGTCTTTCTGTGTGAAGGCATGTCTAGGCTGTGAGGTGCCAGGCTCAGGCCCAGGGGGAAGTGACCTTCCCTGGACAGGCTCTCTGGAATCCAGGCTCCACCAGAGTGAGCAGATAGCACTCAATATGGTTGGGAGAGCCCTGGCACTCCCAGAAGAGAGCAGTCCCATAGTGTCACTAACACAAGGCAGCCCCAGGCCATCTTTTCCTAAAAGCCTGCTGTGTTAATTTGCTTCCACACATAGGATCAATCCTCCTGGTGAGCCTTTGTCTAGTTCTCCCTGGGAACGTGGTGCCAGGATGAAATAATGATTCAAAGAGATGGTGGCAGACTGATCTCAGTCAGCCTTGTCTGCAGTCCTGTGGTATGGATTGTTTTTTTATTTTTTCTTTTTTTAAATTTATTTATTTTTATTATTTTTTCTTTTTTAAAATTTATTTATTTTTATTGTCATCATAATCTTCTTTATATTACATTGGATTAGTGTGGATTATTTTTAAGAGCCAATGTGATTTCTTCTACAATTGTGCACAGAAACAAGGCGGCTCCTTATTTTCCTTTGTGCTGTCTCTGCCTGAAGTTTTCTTTTCATTTAATGGCTGCAGATTGTCAGACATTAAACTAAAGACAGGTGGAATTGCAGCCCATTTTTACACCATGATGACCCTGTTCCTGGGAGATGGATAGACAGCAGTTTGCAGCACTGATGACTCTTGTCTGAGAAGACTGTGGTACTGTGGAGTTTTGGGTGGGCTGTAGTGTCTGTCGTGTCTGTGGTATCTAGAATGCCCATGGTCAGAATGGAGATGTGTAGCTGCACTAATTTCTCAGGGACTCAGACACCTATGCTTCTCCTTCTGGATGCATAGGGAGTGAATGCGACCTTGATACTTGTTGGGAGACCTGATTGTGGACATGCAGGGAAGCTGTAGCAGTGGTGCTCAAAACTCAAAAATGCTGGCCATCCTATAGGTAGAACTCACAGCTGCATCATCAAGTGGGGTGGCATGGGTGGCTGGGGAAAAGGAGTGCCATGACCACTTCCTGGGGTGCGAAGATCTCCAGGTGGGACTGAAGATGAAGCCCAAATATCCAGAACCATGCAAGGAGCAATGGTCACCGAATGCCTCTCATCAGTTACTCAACTCACAGCCCTCCAGAAGTGCCATGGCCCAGTTGTCCCTGTGACTCCATCTGCTAGTAGGGTGCCCCCCACACAGAGAATTGTCACTGTCACTGGCCTGAGCTGTGACAGGACCCCAAGAGGGAGCAGAGGTCTATGGGGAAGGGCTGATAAAGGGGACACTGCTAACTTTTCTATTAACCAAAAACTGCTCTAAAAATACAATCCATCTTTTTTTTTTTCAAGGTTGTTTGATAGGGCACATACACTCACAGGGGAGACAGAGATAGTGAGAGGGAAAATGAGAAATCCCCCCTCAGGGAAGATGGCCACACTGCTTCTCCTCTATTCTCCTCCAGAGATCTTGCACACACACCACATGTGCCTGGCATAATTTTCAAGCCACCAGGTCTGGAACTTGAACGAGGGTCAATCTTGTGAGAGTCAAGAACCTTAACCACTATGCCACTTGCTGGCTCCTAGCCCAATTTTAAGAAAAACACATTTTCCAAAATATTGATCATATAAAATATGTCTAATTCCAATAGAGATATACTTTAAGTATAAAACATACCATGAGTTTTAAATATTTTGTATAAAAAATAGGTGTACAGCACTTCTATAATTTTGATACTGAATATATGTTGTGATGGCAATATTTAGTTTGAATAAAACAATTAAAATTTTCAAAAATGCAGGACTTTTATGGTGTTTGACTCAGTCATTGAAAGAAGCATCCACCACACACACAAAGGAGAGTATGACCTAGGCATGTGTTCCATGTCCTGTGACCATCATGAATACTTACAGCTTCCCTTACTCCTCTGCTGCTTCTGATGTAAGGTGAGGCTACAGTTACGGTTTGAATCATGTCTCTCCCTGTCCCCTCAAGATATTTTGAAGACCTAATTGTGGTAACTTGAAATATAGAAATTAAGATCTTTCCAGATGTAATTAAATTAACATGAGGTCACTGAGGTGGTATGGAACCCAATATTATCAGTGTTCTTATAAAAATGGAAGAATGTTTTTGTGACCAACCAGAAATTGCAGTGAGGTAGCCAAAAACTGCTAAGAAGTAAATACCAAAACCAGAAGCTGGCGAGAGACAAGGACAGAGTCTTTGCAGTCTTAGTGGATGCCAGGCCCTGCTAAAGCCTTGACTTCACATTTCTATCCTCCAGAACTGTGGAATAAGAGATGTCTGATTTTATATTCATGGAATTGGTGGTACTTCCTTACAGCAACTCTAGAAAAAGCTACAGGTAGCAGATCCCTTCCAGTAAGCAGTAGCTTTCAAAAAACTGCTTGCTATGGACAGCTCTACCTTGCCTTAAAACATGTAGCTGACAGAGACATTGAGGTATTTGAGAGATCAGATATATAGTTACAAAGAATTGACAATTTTGCTGGAGATTATGGGGTTAAGAGACCTAATGTGGGAGAAAGGGCTTTCAAAAGATGTTGGGGTCAGGCATATCTGGTACTTTCCCTCTAATCTTTTTTTTAAAAAATAGATTCTTGTACAATTCAGGACAAGTTCAAGAAAGCCCTCTACTTACTGAATTTTTTGCTTTTTTTCCCCTCACTTGGTGTCTGACCTCTGGATGTCTCAGTTTCCCAATAAGAAATCTTATAGCTGGCTTCTAGATTATATAGACTAATTTACAAGAATATAGATAAGTGTAGATGAGGAGTCAGAATTTCTGACATCAACATGGGGCTGGGGAGAAATGCAGAGCAATGCATCTGGTTTTAGAAGTAACACCTTGAGGGACCAGCAGTAAGTGTAATGGCTATGTCACTGGACTCCCATGTAGCCGACCGCAGTTTGAGTCCCAGACCTGGTGATATAAACTCATGCTGGGCGCATGTGCAAAATTGCCCAAGATCCTGAGAGGAGAATGAAGGAGAAGAGATTGTGGCGTGGTCATCCCCCCTGGGAGGTGATTTCTTGCTTTCTGTCTCTCTGTCTCTCTTTGTCTTTCTGGTGAGCATGCACGACCTATAGCAAAAACCTCTCCAAAAAGAAAAACAAGAAGTAACACCTTGGACCTTGAAATGAGGAAATCACATCTGGAGTGAATCCAGACGGATTTACAATTTTAAATGCTATACCAAGTCTTGGGGATAGAATGAGTGGTCACAATCACTAAAGATTCTAAAAGTAAAGAGAGCGAATGAAATAAAATATAAATGTGGAAAGAAGTGAGGAATAATTTTCCAAATTAGAGCTAGGTGTATATTTTCTTCCCACTTTAAAATGCCCAGTGAGTGCTAAGTAAATAAAAAATAATCCATTCTCAGGTGTACTGTGGTTAGTCTGCAGACTAAAAGGGATCTTACTTTCTCACAGAAATCACATAGATAAAACAGGTTACCTATCAAATGCCAAAGAATAATAAAGAAAAAAAGTTGATATTGGATTTCATTTGAGAAGTTTCCAGAAGCATTTGATAACTAATGTACTATAGCAAGAGAAAGGCATATGACTGTCTTGTCAGAAAGGGCTGCTGTAACCTGTCTTGCATTCTTTCTGTCCTCTTCCCTTGACATTTCTGAAGTGGAACATTGGGTAATCAGACTTAACATTTTTGTATTATTTAGTTCTACTAACCTCTTCTCACCCACTGCCTTTGCCAGTTTCTTGCCCTCAACTGTCACTGACTTAATGAGCATGATCCTATCACATCCATTTTGACTTTCCAGACATAGGATCCTGAAATGGGTGTCCTATTACAGAACTTCTTCCCTGGCTCCAGTCATCTATTCCCCTGGCCATTGTCTCCTCTCACCTTGTGCTTTGTCTCTCATCTGAGTACACTTACTTCCAAGCCATTAATGGGGGTCCCTGCTGATTTCCAAAGGACATTTATGTCTCCCCTCTAAGGACAGCATTAAAGACCCTTTAAGACATGACCCAAAATTAGTATCTCTTTGTCTGTCTGTGTACCTCATATTGTAGCCAAAATGAAATCACCACACCCAGTTGCTCAATCCAGAAGTTGTAGAACTATACTGGAGTCATCTCAAAATGGTTCATTCCAGAGTCTCACTCCCACATCCAATTCATTCTCAATTCATTATAATTTCACCTTTCTCCATAGCCCAAGTCATCACTTTCTATTCCCTGAACATCTCCAACAGCCTCCATCCTGGTTTTCCTAATTCTACTTTTGCCCATCTCCATTTGTTGTCCTCCCAGCAGTTAGATTAATTTTTCTGAAAAGTGAAATAGATCATATTGTTCTTCTACTAAAAGCATTTCAAATTTTCTTCACTTCTCTGGGGTAAAATGCAAGATAGTCCATAGATCCTGTCTATCTTTTCAACCATCTCTTACATTCTTCTCCGTGTTCTCTACCATACTTTGTATAAATGGGCATTACTTCCATTTTATATTTGCACCAGAATTTTGCAACCGTAGTCTGCATAAGCTTTTCCATGATCCTCAAATACTGTTCCTCCCTCATAACCTGGCTAACTGTCCCTCTTGCCATGTAAAATTTTCAGATTCCCCAGTGTGTGGTTGCTGTTGTGAACAACTGTTACTCTCTTTTATAAAAAGCTACAGTTTTCCTTATAGACTTTAACATAGTTAGAGCTTATGTGTATTCTGCACACTTAAGATAACTGTCTCCCCTTTATTGGACTACAGCCATGTCCAAATTACTGTATTCACCAATAGGTATTCAGGTACTAAAATGATTCCTTAGGCAGTGAGTTGTTGAACAAATACTTATTAAACAAATGACTAAATGATGATATGACTGCAAGTAAAACTCAAAAAGTAAAAACAAAAACAGCCACCTCAGATGACTGTATATTCCAAAGACACCAATATTTCCCACCCTCGAAGGTCTTCTAGAACCTTGCCGCATGTGCATCAAAGTGTGTTGAAATGTTTCTGTGTAGTTTCTTTTAAGTGTGTTGTGTTTCCTTAACACCATGACTGTGAAATCTCTGTTAAGATCCTGAATCTTTCCTTTAGTGTAAGTCCCTGCACTTCACTTTGTCCATTGGTACCACCACATTCTCATGATTATTCTTCATAAACGGGTCATTCCAGAGCATCACCCCCACATCCAATCCATTCTCAATTTATTATAATTTCACCTCTCTCCATAGTCCAAATCATCACTTTCTATTCCCTGAACATCTCCAACAGCCTCCATCCTGGTTTTCCTAATTCTACTTTTGCCCATCTCCATTTGTTGTCCTCCCAGTAGTTAGACGAATTTTTCTGAAAAGTGAAATAGATCGTATTGTTCTTGTACTAAAAGCATTTCAAATCTTCCTCACTTCTCTGGGGTAAAACCCAAGATAGTCAATAGATCCGGTCTATCTTTTCAAACGTTTCTAACATTCTATTCCATGTTCTCTACCATGCTTTTTATAGATGGGTGTTACTTCCATTTTATATTTGCCACAGAATTTTGCAACTGTGGTCTTTGCATAAGCTTTTCCATCATCCTCAAATACTGTTCCTTCCTCATAACTTGGTTAATTGTCCCTCTTGTCATGTAAAGTTTTCAGATTCCCCAGTGTATGGTTGCTGTTGTGAACAATTGTTACTCTTTTAAGAAAAACTACAGTTTTCTTTATAGACTTTAACATAGTTAGAGGTTATGTGTATTCTGCACACATAAGATAACTGTCTTCCCTTTATTGGACTACAGCCATGTCTAAATTGTTGTATTCACCAATAGGTATTTAGGTAATGAAACTACTCCTTAGGCAGCAAGTCGTTGAACAAATACTTATTGAACAAATGACTAAATGATGATATGACTGCAAGTAAAATTCAAAAAGTAAAAACAAAAACAGCCACCTCAGATGACTGTATATTCCAAAGACACCAACAATAATATTTCCCACCCTCAAAGATCTTCTAGAACCTTGCCACATGTGCATCAAAGTGTGTTAAAATGTTTCTGTGTACTTTCTTTTAATTGTGTTGTGCTTCCTTAAACCATGAC